TGGCAAAGAATACAAATCGCTGCCAACGAAGTCGGACGCAATCCCAATATGTTGTTTCAAACTCGAAGATCTCTCAGAAAACGTATAGTGTATCAGTGTCAACGGTGGATTCTTCGAACAATTACTTTAAATCATAATTACGTATTTTATTTGTTTTATTGTTAATTATTGTAATAACACGAAGAAACGCTTGGTTTGTTTCGCTTTTAATTTCTCATATTATCAAAATATAGTATTCGTTAAATCGATTTTTCTCGAAAACGGATCGAGATACCGAAATGAAACAAGGGTACATAATTAATGGAAAAATGATAGCTCTTTCAGGTTTTCAATCAAGTTTCATGTTAAATATACGGGGTAAAATGTTATTAACTAAATTTTCGGTAAAATTGGTCGTAAGTGGCGCCCTCTATGAGCAATGCTGAAATTACAACACGCATCTTATTCGTCGCCTAAAAAAATATAGTTTCACAAATTTTCAAGTTCCTAACCTACATATTTTCAGAATAATCGTAAAAAAACGATTTAAAATTTTAACTTTCAACACCCTGTATTTCCGAAACTATCAACTTTCGGATAAGGCATGTTTGCGCCAATGGTCACCGTTTCATGTGTAGTATCTTCAGTTTTCGACTTTCCCATTGTTAATGAATCACCCTGTATACTTAAAAAAAGGAAATATAACTCTGCAGAAGAGAAGTGCATTATTTTATTGTGGATTGAGATGTGCTGAATATCACGTCAGTAAAACTAATAGTACTAGACTTTTGTCTAATCTGCTATGTACATTCTATTAAGGTGTTTATACCATAGACAAACAAAAAATAAGACTTTCAGAAACAGGCGAATGTGGCATTATGTTTCTACGAAGCTAGAAGATGCATATCGTTTAACGGATGTTATTTGAACTAACATTCAGACAAATAAGTATTGTCACATACAGGGTGTTCTAAAAGCTCTATGAGAAACTTTGACAGATAGTAGCTGGGTTAATTTCAAACTTTTTTCTGATATGAACATAGGTCCCGTTCGTTTTTGTTTGGAAGTTACAAGTTTTTAAAAAATATAATTTCATATTTCAATCAAAGTAGCCTGATAAATAGAAATATATATCAACATAAATAATTATTATTATTTGTCATTTTATTTATTAATTTGATACTGCAACAACATGCATAAAATGATAGATTTATTTCGCTTGTCATATAGTCTGATGAAGCCTGTTTTACTAGGACGGCATAAATAATAATCATAATGAACATATTTAGACGTTACAAAATCCGCATGCAATTAGATCAAGACGATTTCAGCAACGTTTCAGTGTTAATGTTTGGGATAGTATTTTCAACAATAATTTACTGCCTGTATATGTTTTAAATGGTCGTTTAAATGCAGATCGCAGATCTGTCTAGAATTTTCTTGGAAAACAACATTTTTGACGTAGGGCTTAATATTGTTCAAAATATGTAGGATCAGCACGATGGTGCACCACCACATAGAGGGAGACAATTAACTGCTTGGTTAAATGAACATTTCCCGAATAAACGAAAAGGTTAACAAGGTCCAGTAGCATTCGCGTTCCCCAGATCTAAATCCTTTGAACTTTTAATATGGACATATATGAAACAGCTTGTCTACCATCCGTCAAGTAACAGAATCTTTATTCCTCCGATATGAAGGTAGACATTTTGAACAATTTTTATAATGTTAAGATTTGTTAATTTGGTTAATAAATGTTCCCTAATATTTAAACTTTAAACACAAATAATAATTATTGTTATAGCAATTATCATTTTTTTTATGAGGCTACTTTGATTGAAAGATGAAATAATATTTTTTTAAATGCATGTAACTGTAACATGTAAACAAAGACTAATCGGACCTATGTTCATATAAGAAAAAATGTTTGAAATTAATCCCAACTACCTACCATCTGTCAAAGTTTGTCATAGAGCTTGTAGAACACCCTGTATAGAATATGATATTTTTAGAAATGATAATATTTTATAAATTGTAAATATCGATAATTTATTCCGCTAGGTGAAATGCAATAATGGTCAATAACTGTAATTTAATCAACGAAATACAGAACAATCACAGTAATAGAATCAAAAATCGGCACTAACATCATGAATATATTTATCTTGCAATCAGAATATGTTGGAAAACAGGACATGAACTCTTTCAGAAAAGTGTAAATATTTCATGGAGTATACAACTCAAAAGATAAATAAATGAATTACAGTCTAAACGCTAACAATTCGGGATATTTGCGCCAGCCTTTTAATTAGCCCAATCGGTGCTAAACATTTATTTATTAAATTTATTTGTTATACAAATTAATCCAAAACTTAAACCGCAGCTAAATTAAACCACACATGACACTGAACTGAATTGACAGAACTGACTGAAAACTTTTATACATGTCTCAGTGTTAGCGTGCAAAAATTTACCAGGGGGTAGACCACACCAAAATAAGGTTAAAATTCTTATAAAATATTTTTGTGTAGTGTTGTTTAGAAAAAATTATAATAACATTCCGCAATAACTCAAAAACCCTTTCAGGGATTTAGGTAATTTTTGGATGAAGTATACATCTATTAAAGGTCATTAAAACTACATGGTGCTTATTTCGATCTGGCGCCAGGGGCGGCCTAGGCCAACTTGTCCTCAAGGTTATGTCTTCATAACTTCTGCATATTCTAGGTTTATGTAATTTAATTACGTTTTTATGAATCTGCAATCGATTCTAAACACAAACGTGCCTCTTGTTTCATAGCTCAAAAATGAACCGTTTTCGAGTAAATTGAGTCTAAACTATCGACTGCATTAGTTCGTAGAAAAATGCATGTAAAGATTTTATTTATTGTTATATAGTATGTACCTGTCATTATAAAAAACAAAGTTGTTTACCGTTGAGGACAGTTTCCTCAATGAATATGAAAAAACTAAACAAGTTTTCTATGAATTATTTAATATTTGGTTACGAATAGGGTATAGGGGTACTAAAAATAAAATTGAAAATTACGTAACAGATACGAAATTATGTTAGCAAAATGACAATATTAAAAATAAAAATAGGAAACAATTATTTCACTAAATGGTCGAAATGCTGTCCATTTACTTCAATGGATGCCCAACATCGTTTGAGCAAGGAATTATAAACCTTTTGTAAATCACCAGGATGCAACTTTATATATGTGGTATGGGTGCAGTTCTTCTCGGTTTAAAATTCTTCAGACGCTGCTTCGTGGAATACTTACTTGCGTTGATATTCTTCGGACAGTGATGAAAGGATCATCAACAACAGCAGCTATTACATTTTCTTCTAAAATGCTTGTATATTCCCAATTACCTCTTATTCTGGTATTTCCAATTTTAACACTCCTGGTCTCACGGACTCTTTGGAAAACTAGTTGGAATAAGTGCTGTGAAGGTTGCCTTCTATTTGGAAACCTGCGTAGATACTCTCGTGAGGCTACCAATGAATTTCCATCACAAAAACCGTAGACAAGTAACATATTCGTTGTTGGAAAATTTGATAATACTTAATATCTCGTTATTTTGTGAACTTAATTTCTCGTAACTTTAAGTACTGTAATTAATTTTGACATGTACGCTTGTAAACAACTTTGTTTTTTATAATGACAGGTACCTACTAGATAACAACAAATAAAATCTTTACATGCATTTTTCTACGAACTAATTCAGTCGATACTTTAGACCCAATTTACTTGAAAACGGTCCATTTTTGAGCTATGAAGCAAGAGCTAATTTTATGTTCAGAATCGATTGCAGATTCAGGAAAACTTTATCAAATTACATAAAACTAAGATATGCAAAAGTTATGAAGACATAATCTTGAGGCCCAGATCACCCCTGGCGTCAGACCGAAATAAGCACCATGTAGTTTTAATGACCTTTAATAGATGTACACTTCAAGCAAAAATTAGTTAAATCCCTGAAATGGTTTTGGAGTTATTGCGGATAGTTATTATTTTTTTCTAAACAACACCAGGTAACTCGGTGAGAGTGCATCGCAGAAAAATATTTTATAAGAATTTTAACCTTATTTTGGTCTGGTCTACCCCCTGGTAAATTTTTGTACGCCGACACTAGGACATCCCACTTTACTCCCCATTTCTACGCCACTGACCTACAAAAATTTGTAAATTTTGTATATGACATGAAGTCCGATTCTGTATTCGTTTATTATCGTTGTTTGGCTATTTTCATGGCAACCCTTGTTAAATATACACTAGTCAATGATTTTCAAGCTTATTATGCCCATTTCATATTTAATGTAGTAAATTATGATAAACTTTTATTTTAAAATATGAAAACGCATTATTATTACTATTATTTGGGAGAACCTGATGGAATGATATGAGATATTCAGCTCTTTGCTCTTTGTTTGGGTCACATTCGGAAGTCTCCACAAGCACTAATTTGAGGTCAGTTTTTTTTTTGTGATTAGGCTCAGGCTGTTATGACTCATATTTTACTTTATATTAAATCATTCGCTGACCCCCAACGTTCTCCCCACACCACCAAACTAATTTTAATTTACCACTAAGGATCTCTGGATGTCCGCAGGGATCACTTTGGGAACCACTATGCTAGATCCTTGTTTACTTCATTAGATATTTAAAATGACCGTAATTGAATGCCATAAATCTTGTTTTGAAAAATTGGTAGTTCATATTCGCTATTTATTGTTTTTTTTTTTTTTGAAAATACAATTGTTTCGGCAGCAATGGTTGGTCAATAACATCTTAATAACATCTTTCCAATCTAAGGTAGTAAAACGTAAAAATTTTAACTAATTTAACTGCCCACAGCTGTACCGCGACTGACAGAATGTAATGAGTTACTCGCGAAATCTGAATACAATCATGATCCTCCAATTGTGCCGAGCGTAATACGCCATTGTCTACTTATGATTATTTTATCCGAATAATTCTGGCGGATCCGCATGAAAGCGTCCTTTTTGATTGCAGGTCGACGCAGAACCGGTGGCCACGACATTTCGGTGGAGTTTCAACAGCACTCCGGGGATTTCCCGGGAGCTCAGCGAGTTCACATCGGATGCAGGCCTTAGTACGCTGACATACGTACCTAGGGTGGCGGCGGACTACGGCACTCTGCAGGTTTGTCACTGTTTCAACACGCTGGCGGTTCTTCGCCGCTATAATTGCTTAACCCCTAATCAATAGAGAATTCAACGTGTTCTAACCATTTATCAAAGCGTTTGTAAACTCTACGTAAATTAGTGGGAATTTTTTTGTGTTCTGTCGTTTTTTGAAAATTAATCTTTCTAGAAGTTACAGTTTTTACATACATATTATACAGGGTGATTCATTAACAATGGGAAAGTCGAAAGCTGAAGATACTACACGTGAAATGGTGACCATTGGCGCAAACATGCCTTATCCGAAGGTTGATAGTTTCGGAAATATAGGGTGTTGAAAGTTAAAATTTGAAATCCTTTTTTTTTGCGATTATTCTGAAAATATGTAAGTTAGGAACTTGAAAATTTGTGAAACTATATTTTTTTAGGGTATAAAATTTATACGGGTTAAGTTTTTTTCAATGTTTAGTGTAGGGATCTGGGAAAGTAGCAGATATAAAAAAAAGCTTAAATGAGGAAAGATGTGCAAATTTATAATCCTTAGTAAATGATACTTTTATTTAAAAAAAAAAACGCTGACTAGATATATGGAAAATCCGAATTCGGCCAATTACTTCAGATGCGTGTAGCTACGTTGCTATTTATTTATTTAAAAAAATTACAAAAGTTTCAGGTTTTTGCAGTATTAATAAGACAGTGATCAAATTGTTCGTGTACACTTTTGTTCTCAAGTTATAACATAAAAGTTTTTTAAATGTAAACCATAGTTATGAGCTAGAAAAAAATACATTTTTTCATGCTTTCTAACGATATAATATTTGGCATTGTTATTTTGAGGAATGGGAGAACTGCAGCGGTTTGTAACTTTTCAATTGCTTGTTGACGTAGATGGCTGTGAAAATTATACGCAATCCAACGGATAAAATCATAACAATTGAAGTTGGCATCGCGTGCGCGCCTCTATACAGGGATGGCCAGAAGTACGGAATAAAATTCATATCTTTTGAATGAGTTAATTTTTTTTAAAACGCCGAAACACGTTAACTGATTTTGATTTTTTCCTTTTAAGCTTTTCAACGAGCCCCCTCATGCTTATGTTTCCATTTGAAAAAAAAAGTAGGGGTAGCTGAGGGTTAGGGGGTTGAAGAAAAATTAATTATTATATAACCGAAAGATGGGAAAAATCAAAATCAGTTAGCGTGTTTCGGCGTTTTAAAAAAAATTAACTCATTCAAAAGATATGAATTTTTTTCCGTACTTCTGGCCATCCCTGTATGTGTCAGGGCACCGTAGCAATTTGCGACTGGCATTTTAAATAAAACAGTAATAACAAGTAACAACTGGATTTATTTTCATAAAGAGTTTAAATTATAATGAAAATTATTTGGTAAGGTAAGTAAATGAAATACTTAACAAAAGACGGAAAAAATATCAGAATTTTATGAACAAACTATTATTTACTTTAAAGATATTAACGAACTTGTTCAAAAAGTCCACCGTTGTTGTTCATGCACAAGATACAATTTTTAAAAACAGAATTTGAGGCTTTTCTCACAGAACGCGTATCAATACTGTCAAAAGCTTCCTGAACGAATATAACACTCAATAATATCACGTTTTTCCTCGTTTGAAAAATTCGTTGCCTTTGGCAATTGAAGCGACTTTTAAGAAAGAAAAGTAACTGTCAAATAATGTTACAGTAACTAATAGCGTTGTTAGTAAACAGTTTCGATTGTTTTCACAGCCATCTACATCACCGAGCAATTAAAAAGTTAAAAACGGCTGCAGTTCTCCCATTTTTCAAAATAACAGTACCGAATATTATATCCTTGGAAAGCATAAAAAAAGATAATTATTTCTAGTTCATAGGTATATGGTTTACGTATATAAAACTTAAAGTTTATGTTACAACTTGAAAACGAAACAGAACACGAACATTTTGATAACACTATCTTATTAACACTGCAAAAACCAAAAACTTTGTAATTTATTTTTTTTTGTAAAATAAATAGGAGCTACACGCATCTGAAGGCATTGGCCGAATTGGGATGTTCCCAAATATCTAGTTAGCCATGACGTTTTTTCAAAAAATAAAAGTAACATTTAATAAGGATTTAAAACTACACATCTTTCCTCATGTAAGCTTTTTTGTATCTCTACTACTTTGCCAGATCCCTACACTAAACATCGAAAAAAACTCACCTTGTATATACCAAGTATTTCAAAGGAGTATTTCTATAAATATTTAAAATATTTTACTTATACAAGGTGTATCATGAAGAGGGCCCAGTAGGATTATCTTAAAAAGTAGTCAAAATTGAAATCTGAAAATTTGTATACAGGGGTTTATCAAAAAATTATATTCAATGAAAATAGTGTCAACTTTCTCGCACTTCCGGTTATGCTGGAAGTCATCATCAATTATGTTATTTCAAATGGAACACTCAATCAATAATTTCCAATTTACACAAGAACTGTTAACTTTGGATATAAGGAACTATAGTATAATTTTAAAATAAATTTAATTCTGCATCCATTAATGTAATAATATAGAGGGTGTACCATTTGAAATTTTTGAATAAATTCAACTTCAACGTCACAATATTGGCCACACGTTTTTAAACACTCTGTATGAATTTTTGCAAAGACATAAACTGGTCTAATTCCATTGCTTTTAAACTATCCATGCCAAATTTCATTAACAAATAAAGCAAAATATAGGAGGTACTGTATTTTCAAAAATCTCTTACATCCCTCAATTTTTTTCGAAATTATTAATAACTTGAAAACTGTCACATTTTGGCCCTTAGTACCTTATATGAAAATAGTCTAGAATTTGCTGTAGAATTAAAAAATTTATAAATATACATAGTATTCCATTTAAAAAAACAGAGCCGATGATGACTTCCGGTATAACCGGAAGTGCGAGGAAGTTGACACTATTTTCATAAACCCTTGATAAACCTCTGTATAAAAAATTGTCAGATTTCAATTCCGACTACCTTTTTGAGATAATCTTACTGGGCCACCTTCGTGATACACCCTGTATATTTATTTATAAGAAAGTCATAATGAATCAAGTGGTTTTCAAAATGAAATGTTGAAGTTTATAAAATTATATCACATTTATTTAAATGTTTCTGTGTAAAGTTGGTAAATGAAACGAGCTAATTAAAAGCTGAAATTATAAACGATAAGAATCCCAGAATTTCTACGCCAGAGTATTTTGGAAATTCCAGAAATATATTTGGACAACAGTGTCTTTATGGCAAAAGGTTCTTCGCATATCTGTGTTATTATTTCCTTTATTTCAAATAGTCTTCATCACACTTTTAAATAAAGTAATAATTTGTTAATTTTATTCAAAAAATATATAGGAATTTTTATTCGATATACAATTTTAAATACAGTGTAGCCATCAGCGGTCTACAAAAATAAATGCCGTAGAAATTTTTAATATCTGAGGCATATCAAGGAGTCAGCTCCTAAAAAAAAAAATTTTTGCGCTAATAATGTTTTATACTTACCTATACTGACTATATAGCTTAATGAAATTATATTTTGAACAAAAAATGTCCATGGTAAGTATATTTTTTTGGTGAAACAAATGATTCTTAAAATTTTTAATTAAAAAAATAATAACAAATAACATTAGGAATTAAATATATTTATCCAAAATACTCAGAGGTGTAGATATTCTAGAGTTCTTTATGATAGTTCTTTTCAGTATCTCCGATCCTGACTGATGAATATCTGTAACAATTCAATGAATTTATGCATTTCATTTATTATACCCATGTTTCATATGTTTTTAACAAATTCATAAATATTGATTGAATATTGTATTTGTTTAAATTTCAACACCCTATATCTGGAAAACCCGACTTAGACTGTTGGTTTATTAAAATGTTCTTAGAAAACATTATCTAAGGAAACCTCCTCAAGTTATGTAGATTTATAAAACACTTCCTGTATGGTGATACGTCGATATGTTTCGCATGCATATTGTATTTTAAACGTAAGTTAATTAACAAATTTGAATTGGTTATTCTGATAATCCCGTAAATACTGAACTTTAGTCCAGGCGGTACTTGTTTCGGGTTGGGTAAAACGCATATGATCGGAGATATTTGCTTTAAGGGCTTCTAAATAACATCAGAAATGATAATATTTCTGTGCAAATAAAAAAAACGTGGGCTTAATTGTTATTGCAAAAAAGTATAAAAAAATAGCAAAAAATTCATTTTTTTCTTGGATTTCTCATCGACAACTTAGCAACTATTCGTTTTAGACAAAAATGGAAGAGGAAAAAAAGTTTTGTAATTAAATTTTGATCAAGATAGAGTAAGCTGCAATTCGAAAAAATAATTATTGTTGTTACAAAAATCGGAAAAATCATTTAAAATATTGCAAAAAATGCTAGTTTATTTGTAAATTTTTTTCAGACACTTGAATAATACCTAGGATCTTCATACTTTTTCCAATTAAACTTTTTAGTGCATAGAATCATCACACCAAATTTCATCCAATTCGGTTCGATAGTTTTTACATAATAATTGTTTAATTTTTTTTTTTTTTTTAAATTAAAAAATTTTCAAAATCAAATTTCTAAAAATCTAAAGCCTTTGAATACTTGAAAATTTCAC